TAACGCATTACTTTTAAAAGTAACTTTCCCCAGCACTGATTACGAGTAACAGTAAAATGCTGCAAATTATTTTTTATTACGCTTGAAACGCGATTTACACCATTACAAAGCTTCTGTTGCGCGTGCAAATTTAATTTACGCTTACAGTCTTATGTACACTTCCACAACTCTTACCCTGCGTATGCTAATCTTATTGACGTCATTCTACCTTCATAGTAAATTCCTATGTGATCAGAGAGTAAATGGCGAAATTGTCTTTAATGTTTGATAACTAATAGTTAAGCGTCTCGGCAGCGTTTATTGACGCTAGTTTGAGGCTTACTGAATGCGACTCCTCATCATGAGCTCACAGACCGGTTTGTTGTTCAGAAAGCGGGATTTTCCTCTCAGTGATGCGCTTCAGGAGCTTCTGCAGCAGGGCGCGGGGCGCGCTCGACAGCTCGGGGACGCGCGGCACGAGCTCGACACGCTGCAGGTGCGCGCGCACGCATCACACGTTACGTTTAGCATAGGCCTCATAAACCATAAAACATGACCCACGATCATGCAAAAACATTATTATTATGCCATCATCATCACATAGTATGTCATCATTTCGACTTTTCTGTCATAAGTTAGATGTCTAAAGTCACAATTGCGACTTTTTATGCCATAATCATCACATAGTATGTCATAATTTAGATTTTTAAAGTCCTAATTTTTACTTTTATCTCATAGTTATGACTTTTTATGCCATAATCATCACATAGTATGTAGGGGTGTGCGATATATATCGTCTGCGATAATATCGTAATTCAAGAATTTGATTCAAAAGATAATGGACACTTTTAGAAAAAAATGCCCATAAAATGTAAAAATCAGTTTAAACTTATTGGAAAAGATTAATTTCTATCAGTATGAACTGACCACCACACAGAATATGAAGAATATTAAAAACATTAGGAGTCAGCTGTCTTCGGCAGTCCTTAAGATGTCAGCACAATAACACACTCAGCAAAATATCGTCTAATTATCGTTATCGATAAAATCCCAGAAAATATCAAGATATTTTTTTGTCAATATCGCACACCCCTAATAGCATGTCATAATTTTGACTTTTAACTCATAGTTATGACTTTTTATGCCATAATCATCACATAGTATGTCATAATTTTGACTTTTCTGTCATAAGTTAGATGTTTAAAGTGATTTTAGGAGTGGATGCTGAGGTGTTTGTGTGCCCGCAGGCGTCTCTTCTGCAGCTGGAGCAGAGCTGTGAGTCTGCTGGTTCTCAGGTGAAGCTGCAGGAGAAGATGCTCTCTGCTCTGCTCTGCGATACGGAGCAGCTCCAGCGCAGCGTCCTCCGTCTGGACGCACAGCTCCACAGCCTCCTGCTGGAGAACCTGGAGCTCCGGAGCTGGACGGAGGAGCAGCAGGAGCGCCGCCGCTCCCAGCAGACGGAGTTCAGCTCGCACCGCAGCCGCGTGAGCGACTACAGGACAGCCGTGTGTCTGCAGGAGAGCCGAGCGCACCTCCATCAGGAGCTCCAGCACAAGCAGCAGGAGGCGTCTGGACTCAGACTCGCTCTGGAGGAGCTCCAGACCGACCTCCAGAAACCAGTCCGTCAGACGCAGGTCTCGCTCTCACTGCCGACAGACTCGTCACCTCTGACCCTACGAGACGCCTCATGTGTGTGTTCTGATCCTTACAGAAGGAACTCGAGCTTCTCAAGGAGAACATTCTTGCAGCCAGACAGACTGTGATGGAGAGAAAAGCTCGTCTGGAGAACGAACGGCAAACGCAGACGCAGCTGAGGAGAGAGATCGAGGTAAACAGAGCGACTCTAAAGTCACGGTTATTTCTATAGACATGGTCTCATGATGGACATGGACATGATATCCCTTTCAAGTCCATGAGTATGAGAGGAGCACAGCTTTCCCTCTCAACCAAACTAGCATTACTAGCCAATCAGAATGTTTTGCTCTTATAAACACGAGATGCACATAATAATAGTATCCATGTGCAGAGTCGCAGCTGATGAATGGAGAAGTGCGACGAAAAGCTGCGAGGCGCAATGGTCAAAGATGTCCATCTAGCGCATATTTACATAGAATAACTAATCAAAAAGCAGCGGAGCTTTGCAAACAGCTCAGAGTAATCACGTCATCTCCATAAAACGATATGTTCGCCAGAACAAATTTACCAGGATTTTTGAAAAGGTCCTGTTCAGACATGATCTATTAACGGTAACTTACCAGTAAAGACTGTATGTGTGAAAGGGGACTGTATGTCTGTATATACGTTCATCTGGGAAAACTGCATTATCTCACTAGATTTGTAACGTAAATCATTTATAAACATATGCCAACACAGGAGAATACATCAACCTATGTCTAAATATGCCATTTATTGTACGTGGCGATTTCAAAATGAAAGTTTCGGAGTTTGCATGTGGCCAAATATTAAAATTTAATGGATTTAAACATGGTTTAATCACGCTGTAAAGTGAAACGTCACCGGGCCTGTGGCGCCCTCTGCAGGTGTTTGTTATAACACAATGTACTTTAATATTATGTATAGGAATATTACATGGTTTTATTGAACAACACTGTTAAAATACACAATGTAATTACTTGGTTTTGATATTTTATTTGAGCCCATTATTATTGCCTCATCGTTAGTTTATATATAAATAGTCATACTAAAGCCTGGTTTTCACTTAGGTCTGTTTGTTACTAAAAAATATCAGATTACTCATTTGTCAAAATAGATGACTTGATTACCAAAATAATCATTAGTTACAGCCCTAGATCAGTTAAAATATTTCAAAATACAACTGCATTGTTTTACTTTTTGTAATTAAAAGACAAATATTTTGTCATTGAAAATTTCTTAAAAATAGTATTGAAATATTGTCTCGTTCTAGTGAACCAAGTATCTGTATTTTGTCTCATCTCGTGAGCTAAGTGTGTTGTCACACCCCTAGTGTCTACGAGCATGATATAGCTCATCATTTTCCAAGTGTATGATACAGCTTTCATTCTTCAGGTCAACCATATATTCATGAAAAAAAAAATCAGTTTGAATAAGGAAAGCGATAACTTTGCCATAGTATCCTTTCACATGTTAAAGAAAGGGTTAGGGTTAAAAGATGAAGATATGGAGTCTTGTGTTTAGAAACTGAACAAAATAAGAATATTTGTTCTTGTTTTAATCATAAACACTTCCATTTGATCAGTTTCTCATTAAACAAGCTATCTTAAGTTATTATGCTTCTCCAGTAAATGTATCTTGATTTAAGAATCTTTAGTCATTCGCACTAGAAAACAAGACTGAAATACTGAGGAAGAGCAGCATTTTTTTGCGGTGTGATCGGAAGGTACAGTACATTTTTTCCCATATTCTAATCTTTGATAGCAGAGATATTCAAGCCATTGTTTTTTTAAATGAGTTATAAAGTAATGCAGATCTGAACTCGCTAATTCAAGACATTTACATTTAGAGACCATATTGACGCACTGTGTTCCATTCAATTTATTCCTTACATTTTCTTTACTTGCCCTTGAAAAGAATGGATAAATGGATAGTTCACACAAGAATTAAAATTTTGTCATCATTTACACATCTTGATGTTTTTCCAAACCGGTCGGTGTAAGTATCACAAAAGAAGAAAAATATGAGTAACTAAAGCAATAAGCCCCGTGAAGCCGTGGTTTACAGAGCCTAAAACCCTCTTAGCTGTTATAAATTCACTGTAAACCACGGCTTCTCGGGGCTTACTGCTTTTATAAAACGGTTATTCCATATACGTAGTAAGGTTTCACAAAATAAAACAGAGCAAATAAAGTGTAATGATATTAATAAAAACAGTATTCTTCCACCAAACAATGTAGCTCCTCAGAAACAGTTGTGGTTGCTACAAAGTGGTTGCCGAGCAACACACAAACGTAAACAAAGGTGTATGTTACTTTGTAGAGTCATTTACAACAGCTTCGAACGCAGCTCAGCCAATCAGAATCAAGGACCGGAACTCTCAAACATTTGATGGTAGCCATTGACTTCCACAGTATGGAAAAAAAAAAAAAGTCAATGGCTACGAGCAACTCGCTTTCAAAATCTCTTCTTTTGTGTTCAACGGAAGAAACAAACTCGTACAGATATGTGAATTTTATTTTATTTTATTTATTCAATTTATTTGTACAGGGACAACGCACAACAACAGTGTTGTGCCAGAGTTAGCTATAAAATTTGGTAGCGTTTACACCTACAGCTCCTGCCCTGCCGTCAGCGTGCGCCGCCATCTTATCCGGCGGCGCACGGATGATGACGGAATGATAATTTTGGGTGAACTATCCAAGTCTTAGATTCTCCTTCTTCAAACCTGATCTTGACGACTCTTCCTCAGATTCAGGAGCGCAGATGTGAGGCCATCCTGAAGCGTCTGCGCAGCCAGCTGAAGGAAGCTCAGTCGGGTCACCTGCAGCTGCGCAGCGACGTCACACACCTGCAGACGCAGCTGGAGGAGCTCAGGACTCAGCTGGAGCGAGACGGATGCTGATGGAGCTTAAGACAAGAAGTTAAAGGTTCTGTGGGAATGTGTTTGAATTAGAGCTGCGGAACGATCAGTCGCGATTAATCGATTCAAAATGAAAGTGTATGTTTACATATGATATGTGTGTGTGCTGTGTATATTTATGTATATATCATTCCGCAGCTCTAGTTTGAATGCACACCTGTGATTTAAAATGTATTAATTTTCTGTGAACATGTTTTAATCTAAACTGCAGGTTCGTTCAGTCCGGCACTGGTCAGTGTGTGTTTGGATGTTTTCTGTTTAAAAACGAGCCGGAGACTGCGTCGAATACTGTTCAACCAGTTAACAGTTAACCGGCTCTCATGTTTCTCTCTGTCTGCTACAGCAGATTAATATGCATAACAAAATTAAACAGTACTTTCATTATTTGTACATATACAGTGTGATTTACTGCACCGACGGAATCAAATCGGGGCACATACATTAAAGAGAATGACCAAATATGATTAAAATATGCAAGCAGACACTGTCAAAACGGCAAGCAAGAAATGTATCGATACCTTCGAAAAAACACATGCATCATTTTCAATGTCAACAGAAAAAAAAGTGCCAAATATAAGTGAAAAACAAACGTAATTAGGTATTTCACACTCGTGTCATTCATTGATGCATACTGTATGATAATCCGACAATAAAACAAATTAACAACAAAGAACTAGAGGAAGTCTGTTGTGTAGAACATAATACAGAACTTTTCACATTAAAACTAACAAGTACAGCAGCTTTCACGCATTCACCACTCTGGACCGTTTGAAATATAAAAGACAGGATCGTATAGATATAAATAGATTTTGATTAAATCATTTAGTTGTAGTTGCAGTGATATTAGAGCCTTCGTGTCAGCTCTCCCTCAACAGGTGTAGCTAATTCACGTTTTGAGAGTTAAAACACTCTCCCACTCTTTACCATGCAAGTTATATTTAGGCATTATGATCACTTATACAGTCATCTTCGCAGTGTGCGTGTTTATAACGTCGTGATGGGCAGTATATGCACACTTGGGCTCAGTGTTGCCAACTTCAACACTACATCTGGGTCATATTCAGTAATATTATCAAAGCAAAGCTGCAGTAGATGGCTTCCATCAGCGCTCCCAAAGCTTGCACAGACCTTTAACACATTTCACTCGCTAGCATTAGGCAGTTTTCATTTGTATGCTGTTAGTGATGATTGCATTATTTTTCATATGCATATGCTTACATATGAGATCGGTCGTTTCTGCGTCTTCCTGGTCTGTGTTTTTGATCGAGTGATTCTAGACTCATCCAAGAGATGTGTAATAGCGCCCCCTAGTGTATAACAGTGAGAACACGGAAAATTCTGTGTTTGGCAGGGAAAGAGTTAATTGCTGTGTATTCTGCACGTTTCCTTTCCACTCGTATGAAACAAGAGACATGTTATGGAAGCAAAATAGAGCTCAAAACTGAGCAGTGAAGCATGAAAACGCATGCCTGCAGTGTCTCACCTTAAGGTCGTTTTAAGGCGTCAGAGTCGGAGCTTGGGTGTCACGAGCCTGAGTACAGCGAGTAACATGTTAGCACCGCTAACCAACCTACAGCTACTAGACTACCTGTATTCATCTCTCCACGTGAAGAAACACAGCAGGACACCGGCTTTCATTTCCTCATCATTTATTAAAGCCAACCGTTTAGTGCAACTGCATGACGTCACATTGTTTTGAAGGAAACATGCACATACTGTGAGGTCACAGGTTACTGACAGACTGACGTGTGACCAGAGCCATGGACCGTAAGGCAAATAACTTAACAAGAGCAGAACTCGTTCACGAGCTCACAGAGAATCCGTCCTGAAAGTGGATTCGCAGTCCTTGACACAGAGGGCAAGGGTTCAGGGGTCAAAGGTCACGCTCGTCCTCGGGGCGGTGCTCGTTTGGTCTTATTCACATGTCGACGACAAAGTGCTCCTTATGCATTCAATACACCTAAAGGGACAAAACTAAAAGCCAACCAATAAAACCAGCAGAGACTGGAGTGCTGGATAATACCGTCCGGTCCAGATTGTCTGAGAAGCAGCGTCTGTGCCGTGTTGATTGCGGAGTCCGTTCACAGCATTGCGTCTTGAGAGGTAGTCAGGCAGTGGGTCCGGGGCCCGGGGCCCCTGCGGTGGGCGATCCGGTCTGGACCTGCGCCTGGAACTGTGTCAGCTGCTCTGGACTGGACAGGTTCTTCAGCACAGAGTTCTCCTGCTCCAGCTGAGAGTTCCTCTCCATCAGCTCCTTGATCTGCTCCTTCAGCACCTCCACCTCCTCACGCACCGCGAACATCAGGTGACTCTTCACCAGGTCCTGCACAAACACAACCAGACCTTACCACGAGACACCGCAATCACTCACGTCAAACGTTTGCTCATCAAGGCTGCGTTTATTTTATCAGAAATATTATTAGAATGTAAAACACCTGTCTTCTATGTGAATATGTTAAACTGTAATTTATTTCTGTGATCAAAGCTTTATTCAGTGTAACATGATCTTCAGAAATCATAATAATATGCTGATTTGCTGCTCGAGAAACATTTCTGATTATTATCAATGTTGAAAAAACTGATACATTTTATTTCTCGGGATTCACAGATGAACAGAAAGTTCAAAAGAACAGCATTTATTTGAAACAGAAATCTTTTGTAACATTATAAATGTCTTCACTGTTACTTTTGAGCAAATGAATGCATCCTTGATGAATAAAAGTATCAATTTCTTAAAAATAAAAAAAAAGCATTATTTCATATATATTACATATATGGAATAATTAACAGGACATTTGAGCAGGAAATAAGAAACATTTCTGATTATTATCAATGTTGCAAACACATAAAAATCTAAATTATTCCAAACTTTTGACTACCAGTGGATTTCTGGAATTTCTGGCAGTAAAAGCTTGAAAACATTCTCACATCGCTGTTATTTTACTATCATTAATACACGAATATAGTTTCTATATTTTCTGGCTTCACTTTAGGTGTAGTTGTAGTTTTAATCATTCTTTTATTAGATTAATTTGCATATGTCAGTATTATTGCAGAATCTTGCTATCACAGTTTTTGTTCATATTTAGAATGCTTACTTTATTTTTATATTTTAGCTTAATTTTTAGTGACTGATTTAATAATTATGCTGTGCGTTTGTCTTATTTTAAAATGTCTATATAATTTTTATTCAGTTGTTTTAGTTTATTTAGCTTCAGTTGTTTTAAACTAATTGAAAATGTTGCCTTGGCAACTATGTTTTTTATATTTCAGTTAACGTTTATTTTGTTTCAAGTAATGGTTATATTTGTATGATTTTTGTTTTAGTTATCAATAATATCACGACTCATGTTTTCAGTCATTTGTGATGATTGGATAAGGGGTTATTTCCACTCACAGTATTTTAGAGCATCAGAACACAACTAGAAACATGTATATTGCCATCACGGTTTAATAATTCCAGTTTGGACATGAGCGTGAGAACAGCAGGGACTTCTCCAGTCAGCTAAAGCTGTAGAGTGAGATGCGCGGCTGGTTTGATGGGTTAAAGCCATCAGCGATCAGGATTCTGTGTGCAATCTTTAGGCTGCTGGTCCTCCGGGCCGCAGAGGAACAGAACGTTCTTCATCAGAGGGTGGAGCTGCGGGGTTATTCAGGGCATCCGTGTGTCAGAGTTTGCCTAGCAACAAGCACAGGCTCCAAATACAGCCGGATCCACACACACTCAGACACAGACAACACACACACACTCACAGCTACAAATATACCTGTGCTGCTTATGACTGCTTTTGTGCTCCGGAGTCAGGAATAATGATCATCATGAAGAGCAGCTCAGACTCACCATGGCTTGCTCGATCTTGTTGTCTATGGCCACAACACTGGCTCCGGAGGAACTGCGGGAACAACGAAAAACACCTGGTCAGTTCATTCATTCATTCATTCGTTCGGATGATGTTGCGTAAGATCCGCGTAAACGCACAGCAGGAGAAACTGCATAACGCGACGCTTCTGAGAAGATGCACACAATCGAAGCGAGAGGATCCTTCAGATGGACATTACATCACATTCACAGCAGCATCGCGATATCAGGTAATATTCACCTGTTATCTAGACTCTCAGCGCCCAGAACCGACGACAGAAACGAGATGGAAAAACTCCTGAGCTGACAAACACCGACATCCATCGCCAGCGGGTAACACGGAGAATTCATTCTATTCCGCCCATCAAGCGCTCAGAATCACACAAACAGATGCAGAAGCGTCACATTCTCGATCCTGTGCGTGATTTCTCCCGAGGATTCCCACACAAAGGCGCTCGGAATGAGATTCACAGTGCGGGAGATCCGCAGCCGCTGCGTCATTAGCATAATAAGAGAGGGAGCGCACGGCGGCGCGCCATTGGCTGAGAGCGCGGGGTATTTGACTAATCTATGCCAAGCCCCGCCCCCGCCCTGGCTGCTCACGAACAGAGCCGAACAGAACCGACAAGGGAGCCTGCTTATTTCCCCGTTTGCAAACACAACAGCTGCTTGTTTATCAAAATACGAACAAAAGAAAACTGTTCTTTTTTTTTTGTGCTGCAATAACCTGCCTTGTCAAATTTGAAATAAAACTAAACTATAATAATAATAGCTTCACAGGAAACATTATGCAACAGAACAACACACCCATAATAACACAAACATATTAGTATTATAATGAAAGAGAAAGAAAGAGGCCACAGACTATACAAAAATGATAAAAGAGAGAAAAATCATTAAGCAACAAATGATGTGTTTATGTAAGTGGTGAAAGAGCAGAACTGTCCTCAATAGATGAAGCAGACTCGATTCTAGGTCACATTTACATTTATTCAATTAGCAGATTTCAAGGACTACAAGTCTTTATCCATTTGTGATACAACTAAAGAAAAATTAATAAATGAACCAAAGTCACACACCTAAGGTACATCACACTCCCTGTTAATTAAGCCCCTTAATGTCTATATATACACACTCACAGGTTTGTTTTTATGGTTTATGGGGACATCCCATAGGCGTAATGGTGTTTATACTGTACAGACCGTATATTCTATTGTCCTACACCAACCCTACCCCTAAACCTACCCCTCACAGGAAACTTTCTGCATTTTTAGATTTTCAAAAAAACTCATTCTGAATTATTTATAAGCCTTTTGAATTACGGGGACACTGAAAATGTCCTCATGAATCACCTTCTCGTTGTAATACCTATGTCATACCCATGTTATTATACAAATTTGTGTCCTCATAAACCACATAAACATGCACACACACACACAGGATTTGACTTTCATGAGCTGTAAGCTTTAATCATCAAAATTAAAACAAAAAAACGTTTGAAATGTTTTACTTTACATGTAATGAATCTAGAATATACGAAAGTTTCACTTTTACATGCAGGACACTTACATTGGTCAGGAAAAGAAGAAAACATGCCTGGTATCAAACCTTCAGTGAAATTATAGCAGCTCTGATGAAATGAATGCATGTCAAGTTCATTAAGTGCTTGTCCAAATATCCAGATATCAGACTCAGTACTTCAGGCTGTTCAACACATTTTTCTTTCCATACGCACTGAAAGATGTACAAGGCCGTACTAATGCTTTACATAACCGCTACTCCACTGAACACAGAGACGAGGAGCAGAAACAAGACTTTGCCTAA